TTGCTCTTTAAATGGCATTCTGTGGCAGCCATAGAGTTGCAGCACTAGGATCTCCCTTCAGAAAAGAACTTGCCATTGATGTGCAAGAAGTATAGTTACCTGACGGCCTGCAATTGTTAGCATCTTCAGGATGCTCTTCATATGATGAATCAAACCACAGTTTCCCCAGGAGGTGCCCATCCAAAGACTGAACACCGAGGGGGTACTAGAGGCTGCCTATTTCTCTCCATGGCAGACTCCTCAGATGGATAGGAGACCAGCTAGGTCTCTAGGTCTCTAGAGACCTAGGTCTCTTTGCTTCAGACCAGCTAGGTTGGTTGACACTTCGTCAAGTCTAAACAATGATCTGAGGTTCTCCCTGTCCAATCCTGTTAGCCTCTCCCCCTTTCCTTCCATAGGTACCAGATCCATATCATGATCTAATGGTTTCCTATATTTAATCTTACTTTCTTCCCCTTTATCTTCCATAGATGTACCTCTAGGAAATTTTTACATTCCTAACTCTATCTCAGCATCTCCATCCTAGAGGACCCAAGAGACACATAGCAATTATTTTTGGATTGGTTTAATCCTTTTGATGCTTTTGTTTAAGCACTTTTATGGCAAATCTTGCAAAATCTTTAACCTATGCCTAATATAACCCCATTTATCAAGGGGTGGCCTTTCTATGTTTCTATCTAAAGTCCTATGTATCAACAAGTTCTCTCCATTCTGGCTAGAGGAAAATAAAATGATTCTTGGTGCAGTAGGCTATGGCAATTGTTCAGCTTACAACACTATGGTAATTGTATTTTCCTTAGAACACGTCTTTGTTTAGTCTCATAGGGTTTCACCTATACACGTGCAGACTTATATTCAGCCAAAGACTCAAAGAGAACCTTTTCCATATTTGGGGAACTCTTTTTCTGCATAGCTCACTTCTTTTGGGAAGTATGTCCTGGAAATTTTAGCAACCTCAATCTCCTTGAATGCCCATGTCAGTCCCCTCAAGTCAGTAAAATTGTCAGGTTCTTTTTGGATTCCTCTCTCTGTACTGCAGTCTGGAAGTTGCCTTCAGATGAAAGCCTGGAATGAGGTAGGGCTCATCTCACTTGTTTCTCTTCTCTCAGGAATCCAGGCCTGTGCTGCCTGTTGTTCAATATCTGAAAATAGTTTTGTCCAGTTTTCTTGTTGTTTCCTGTAGGAGTGTAATTCCAGACTCTGTTACTTGCTCAGGGCTGGAAGCAGAAGTCTTGAATTATAAAAATGCAGGCCTAAATGGCTTAATAATGATTTTCATCAAACATTTAAGGAAGCAGTAATACCAGCATAACAAAAATTCTATAAGAAAATAGATGAAGAGGGAACACGCCTTGTCTTTTTGATATTGCTGACACAATTCTGATTTTTTCAAGGACATTACAAGAAAACTACAGACCACTATCCTTGGTAAAATCATGCATAAAAACTTACTAAAAAATTAACAAACCAATTTTAGTTATCTAGAAGAAGGATAATACATCTTGTCCAACTGGGGTTCATCCCAAGAATCCAAATTTAATTTTGTTTAATATTTAAATTATTTAACGTAATACATATAGTAACAGATTAAAGGAGAAACATCGTATGATCATCTTAACAGATGCAGAAAAAGCATGTTAAAATCAACATTCATAATTAAACTCATCAAAAACGAGGAAAAGAACTTCCAGAATTTAATAAAGAGCACTTATGAAAAGCCTACAGTTAATATTAGGATGAAGAATGAAATATTAAGTGTCTTCCTAATAAATTTAGTGAACTGATAAGAAACTCACTCTCGCCACTTCTATTCAACATTGTACTGTAGATCCTAGTCAGTACAACAGAGTAAGAAAAAGAAATGAAAGCAATAAAATATACAAGTGTAGAAGTGGAATATCTTTTTTCTAGAAGACATATTTTGTGTGTAAAAAACGAAAGATATATACTAAAACAAAGAACAGGGGCGCCTGGGTGGCGCAGTCGGTTAAGCGTCCGACTTCAGCCAGGTCACGATCTCGCGGTCCGTGAGTTCGAGCCCCGCGTCAGGCTCTGGGCTGATGGCTCAGAGCCTGGAGCCTGTTTCCGATTCTGTGTCTCCCTCTCTCTCTGCCCCTCCCCCATTCATGCTCTGTCTCTCTCTGTCCCAAATAAATAAATATTGAAAAAAAAATTAAAAAAAAATAAATAAAACAACAATGGCAACAACAATAAAACTTAAGTAATAAGTAGAATACAATACAATAAGTAGAAGTATGCAAAATCAATATATAAAGATCAATTGGGGATGCATATTTTAACAACAAACTGGAAAAAGAAATTTCAAATATCCTACTATTTACAATGGCATTAAAATACTAAAAGATTAGATATAATGAAATATGTATTAGACCTCTATACTAAAAATAATAAAACATTGCTTACAAGAAGTAGAGAAGGTAATTAAAATAGAAAAATATAGTATAGTCATGGACTGGAAGACTCAATATTGCTAAGATGTTAATTCTCACCAATAAAAATTCTATTACCTTTGTTTAAAGAAATCAAGAAGTTGATTCTAAAATGTATTTGAAAAAGAAAATGACCTAGAATGCCAAAAGAATTTTTAAAAGAATAAAGTTAGAAGACTTACTATGACTTCAAGACTTATTAGAAAGTTCCAACAATCAAAGACCAGGTAGTATTGGCAGTAAGACTTAAAAGATAGCAAAGGAAAGAACAGTCTAAAAATAGGCTGACACAAATACAATCAATTTTTTATAAGATCACCAGAGCAATTTAATTCAATGTAGCACATGATGGGAGAAACTGTTATCTATATGAAAGAAAACAGACCCTTAATCTTACCTCACATCATAAACCAAACTTAACATGAGATGGGCCACAGAATTAATAAAAATAGCAAAATATTCATAACATTTTTAGAAGAAAAGACAGAAACTATCATCACAACCTAGTGGATCTCAAATATTTGAGAGGTCAAAGAAGTAAGTATAAAAGAAAATAATGATACACTGGATTTCATCAGAGTTAACAGTGTGTGCTTATTAAAAGACATAACAGACCTGAGGAAATATTCACCATACATATATCAAACAAAAGACTTCTATCCAGAATATGTAAAGAATTCCTACTACTTGAGGGAAAAATATACTACCCAATAAAAATGGGTAAAACATTTGAATAGGTACCTCTGAAGAAGATAAAAAAAACACTTGAAAAAGTTCTCAACATCAATGGTCACAAGGGATATCTAAATTAAAACTGCAAAGATATACTACTATAACCTTCAGTCTGACCAAAATGCAAATACTGATAACATCAAATTCAAAAGAGAATATGGGACAACCAAAATTCTCATACATTTTTGGTAAAAGTTTAAAATGGTATAGTAACTTATAAAAACTGGCAGTTTCTAAAAAAGTAAAATATACACTTGCCTAATGAATGAGTGATACCACCTGCTACATGTTTACTGAGGGGAAATAAAAACATATCCACAAAAAGATGTTTACAAGAATGTTCACAGTAGCTTTATTCATAACAGCCCCAAACTGGAACATTTCGAATATCTATGAACAGGAGATATATAAACAAACTGGTATATTCACACAACTGAATACTATTAAATAAACTACTTATTTATGCAAAAACATGTATATATCTCTCACATATTAAGCTGAGTTAAAGTAGATATGATAAAGGTCTAGGATAGATAAAACTATGCTGGTAGAAATCATAAGTGTGATTGTCCTAAAGGGAGGGACTGACTTGGAAGAGGCCTGAAGGAACTTAATGGGTTAATGGAAATGTACTTTATATTGGATGTGACATACATGGGTTTATGCTTCTGTCAGAACTCAAAGGACTTCACACTTAAGATCTCCATGTACAGTATACTTACAAAGCATGGAGTAGATTCTTGGTAAGGAAATAGCATTCTCTAAAAACATAAGGCAAACAAATAGCAGTCTCTATAAACATAAGGCAGACAAGGAAAGAACTTACATGAGGAGTGATATTCACAGCTAAAATTTAGATTTTAGACACACTGAAGTCAGTCATGTATAGGCATGTCAAAGATCTCAGGCCTTTAAAAACAGATCCCTAATAAGATGGCTACTATTAAAACAACAACAACAACAACAACAACAACAACAAAAACAACCCCAAACAGAAAATAACAGGTGTTGGTGAGGACGTGGAGAAACCGGAACCCTTGTGCATTGTTACTGGGAATGTAAAAATGGTGTAGCCACTATGGAAAACAGTATGGCAGTTCCTCAAAACATTAAACACAGACTTATTGTATATTCCAGAAATTCTACTTTTCTTTTAATTGTTTGTTAATGTTTTTTTAAAAAATGCTTTATTTAAAATGTTTTGTTTAAAATTGTTTTTTATAACTAAAAAAGCTGAAAGCAAAGACTCAGATATTTGTACACTCATGTTCATAGCGTAGCAACATTGTTTATAGTAGCCAAAAGGTAGAAGTAACTCAAGTGTCCATTGGATAAGCAAAAAATAATATATACAATGGAATATTTCAGCCTTAAAGGAAGGAGATTCTGATATTATCAGAATCTCTACATGGGTAGACCTTGAGGACATTATGTTAAATGCAAAAAGCTAATCACAAAAACGACAAATACCACATGCATAAATCCACTTATATGAGGTACCTATGAGTAGTTAAATTCATAGAAACAGAAATTAGAAAGGTGGTTGCCAGCAGCTAGGGGGAGGAGGTAATGGGGAGTTATTTTTTAATGAGTACCGAGTTTTAGTCCTACAACATGAAAAGAGTTCTGGAGATGGATGGTGGTGATAGCTGCACAATGTCAATGTACTTAAAGCCACTGAACTATATGCTTAAAAATGGCTAAGATAATAAGTTTTTAGTTCTGTGTATTTTGCCACAATTAGAAAAAATAGATCCCTAAAAACCTTCAAAGGTGCTAACTACCTGAGTCCACTGGATTTTATCTGTACAGACTCACCAAGGTAGCTCTGACTTGGAAAAATTCTCTCTGTTGTCCATAGTTCTTCTCCTTGTTCCAACTTACGGATCATATCAGGCTTAGTCATGTGAAACCCTGATAATAAAAAATGAGACTTGGTCTAAGTTGCTTGGGCTTCAAAACTATTGAAGGAAGAGAAAGATATAGCTCTAAGGTGACAGACAAGGCACACATTAACATCTTAGCAAAGTTAATACCTTGCACTGGGCAAGCGTGGACATAATCACACTGGCTCCTAATAAAAAAGGATTCATCACCTCTGATCTCTGAAATTCAAAGCTCCATATGTTTCAAAAATTCTTGAAAGGAGATGTATGAGATTGAAAGATTCAAGGAATTTTTCTTACCAACAGAGATGAGGTGGCAATAATTTTCCAACATGACATCTCTGTAGAGGGTCTTCTGAGCAGGATCCAGCTGCTGCCACTCCTCCTGGGTGAAGTCCACAGTCACATCCTTGAATGACACTGATCCCTGCAAGGGCAGACTCTAGTTCATCCTAAAGTGATTGGAACTAGTGAGAACTAGATATTGGAAACCACGTTCAGTGGTCAGACTAGTTTTCTTATTTTATCTTTTGTATTGTAGAAAATTCTCTGTGATAATACAGTCTGTATTTACTTACTATCTCATGCTAAAAATATATAAGATCATACTATTTACCTTGAATGTGACTAGTTGCTTGGTGGATCAAAATGAATAAAGCCCTGGCCTTGCTCATGAGAAGTTACAGGCTAAGTGAGAGGCATACATATAAATACATACACCCAACAGATATTACAGATGTGATGACAGAAAGATGTACAAGGGAAAATGCTACAAAGTAAAGAAAAATTTTATTTTGTATACCAAAGCTTCACTGAGGACATCAAAATTTTGTACTCATAATGAATTTGTTTTATACAGGGTACCACCTTTTAAAATTCATGGGGAGAATCATTGTTGTACTATATACTAATTTGGATGTAAATTTAAAAAAAAATTAAAATTATAGCAGCACTATCAACAATAGCCAAAGTATGGAAAGAGCCCAAATGTCCATTGATGGATGAATGGATAAAGAAGATGTGGTATATATATACAATGGAGCATTACTCGGCAATCGAATGAAATCTTGCCATTTGCAACTATGTGGATGGTACTGGAGGGTATTATGCCAAGTGAAATTAGTCAGTCAGAGAAAGACAAATATCATATGATTTCACGCATATGAGGACTTTAAGATATAAAACAGATGAACATAAGGGAAGGGAAATAAAAATAATATAAAAACAGGGAGGGGGACAAAACATGAGACTCAGAAATATGGAGAACAAACTGAGGGTTATGGGAGGGGTTGTGGGAGAGGGGATGGACTAAATGGGTAAGGGGCACTAAGGAGTCTACTCCTGAAATCACTGATGCACTATATACTAATTTGGATATAAATTTAAAAAAATAAAAAATAAAATAAAAAAAATCAATATGTAACTGCAATATGAAAAATCAGTTGTATTTATATGAAATGAAATCAATTATACAAAGCAAAATATAACAAAATAAAATTAAAAGTCATTAAATACCTAATAATTAATCTAAAAAAAATTCACAGGGGGAGGAAAACCAATTAGTAAGCTGAGGAAATAGCAAAAGGCACAGTATGTTAGGAAAGAGTCTTGGAACTCTAAGAAGAAAAAGGTATATGGAGTTAGGTGGTGGGCATGTTTATCTAATAATACTGGATTTTTTCTGGGGTACGTGGCTGGCTAATCAGAGGAGTGTGTGACTCTTGGTCTCAGGGTCATGAATTCAAGCCCTACATTGGGTTTAGAGATTACTTAAATAAAAATTTAAAAACTTAAAAAAAATACTGGATTTTTTCCCTACATACTAGGGGTCTTAAAAATGTACTGAACACACTCCTAACATATTTATATTTATTTATAAATCATCAGTCAGCATTAATGGCAATCCACATCTGCTCTTGAATGTAATTTGTTGGTATTTTCCTCCCTTTCAATATACTGTCTTGTACATTCCATTGTAATGCATACCCCACTTTGCTTGTTGTGCTGCTTTCAGAGTATGAAGAAATGTTAAGCAGTACATATATTATTTGATAAAATTTGTACTTCAGAGGCAATACCCTTGAAGACTAGAGAAGGCTTGAGATGTGTTGGGTGGGAAAGACAATTAAGTAACCATTGTTAGTGATTTCCTAGATAAGGTGGTATTAGTTGTCTAGAGAGGGGAAAACTGTTTAGTACATAAGGGGTTGCAACAAAATTGGTCATAAATTGGTTGTAGAGTGGAAAAAAGAGGCATAGCTCTTGAGTTACCTGCATAGGCAAGTGGTTAGGTGCTGAGACTAAGAAATTGAAAACACAAGAACAAATAAGCTAGACCAAAGGAGGTAATGAGGTAGGCCTTGGAAATGTACTTGAAGTGTCTATGGGACATTCAGGTGATCATAACTTTTGGAGACTGGATATATGGTTCTGACACTCTGGGTAGAGGTCTAGTATGGAGAGAAGTGTTTGAGAGTCACTAGAATTAGATCAGTGTTACCTTTATGTGGATCTGTGCACAGAGAAAAAGAGACAGTGAAGAGAAGAGAACTGATTGACATCTGGGGAAAACCAGTATTTTGAAGATGGGTAGATAAAGAGGAATTTTCTGAAAGACCTGAAAACACGAAAAAGTACCCCCTTTGATTCAAAGTAGAATATTACTTTTTTTTTTAAGTTCATTTGTTTTTTTGAGAGGGAGAGCATTGCATGCATGAGCATAAGCTGGGCAGGGGATAAGAGGGAGAGACAGAATCCCAAGCAGGCTCCATGCCTGGGGCTCAATCTCACAAACCAAACCATGAGATCATGACCTGAGCTGAAACTAACAGACACTTAACTGACTGAGCTATTCAGGTGCCCCTCAAAGTAGAATAGTTCAAGAATGGACTAGCATATGCATTTTATCCTCCTCCACTCCCATATAAAAAATTAGAAGAAACTAAAAAAATAAGAATAAATCTGTAACAGCATTGAAATACTTGAAAGGTTTTCACTGGCAGGCCACAGTTTGTAGGAACTGGATAAAATAGACAGGATCAGAGAGGGAGAATGCAAAAACCTCAGGTTTAAAAAAAAGTTTATTTATTTATTTTGAGAGAGAGAGAGAGAGAACAGGGGGCGGGTGGGGGCAGAAGGAAGGGAAAGAGAGTATCCCAAGCAGGCTCCATACAATGTGGGGCTTGATCTCATGATCTCACGGTTCATGAGACCACGACCTGAGCTGAAATCGAGTCAAACGCTTAACTGACTGAGCCACCTACAGGCACCCAAAATCTCAGTTTTCTGTACAAGCTTGCAAGCAATCTCTATCTTGGAAACCTCACAAAACATCTTACCACAAACTAATAATGTCAGTTACCAACTCTACCCCCCATTGTATCATTGCAAAACCTAGGTCAGTAGTGATGATCAAGGTTTTTCCATGTCTGCTCCTTGACCCCTCACAACTTAGATCTCAAATCAGTATCTAGATAAGATAGAGTCATTAAAGTAATGTTTCCCTTTTAAATCAAAATAATACATCTTTCAAGCAGTACTTTTGTGAGAAGCTTAAGAAAGGAGATGATGAATGATATATCAAGTTGATATGTAAACATGGGCTACAACTAAAGGTACATGTGGGGAAGGCTTACGTTTATATGGCTGGAATAAGAAAAACTGGGAACAGGGCTGCAACTAGGTGGGGCGGGTGAGGAACATAGGGTGCAAAATTTAGGGATGCACAGGCCCTGAGGATACTCCTTACATTTTGCACCTAGGCCACTTGCTTGTCCTACTGGAGACCAGTTTCATGGAAGCAAATGCCAACATCCAGGAAATTTAAGGATTGGGAAGCAATGTTCATATAACCTGAAAACAACTTATTTCATAAAGAGAGGAAACATCATCTCACCTGAGGCATGGCTTTGAGATTTGCAAGAGATGAACCTTCTCTTTTGAGCCCTTCTTATGGAAAAGGGAAGAGTCCTGAGAAGGCAGAGATGGGAGAATACAAAGAGCCATGTGAAACCATATTTGACTTAGATCTCCCAGAAAATTCAGTTAAATCTGTATCACTGCTTCAGCTCACTCTCATGTATCCATGATGGAGGTTAGTGGGAAAAAGGACAAATCTTGCTCCCTCACCACGAGAAACCTAGTCTCTTTGTGAATTAGAATGGATCTAGGTGATCTGTTGTAGTTGGAGAGGGAACATTGTGCTTTTCCCTTTGCAGCTCTACCTTCCACCTCCCATGGAAGACAGCTTTATCATCTACTTCCAAATAGTTCTTCATGGACTTTCTACCAATTTACACTGTTACTATCAGCACATGAAAATACCTCTCCATACCCTGATGAATGCAGTTACCATTTTTAATCTCTGCCTATCAGATATATATTGTAGTTCTTGTTTACATATTTCTTATTATGGGAGAATAAGCTCCTTTTACTTCTTTTCTGTGATGGCATCTTCTTATATAATGTCTATTTTTTTTGTGTGTTTTAATTTCCTAGTTGGTTGATATTATCATTTTTTATTTAGTAAATTAGCTATTTTAAATTGAAAATAATTTTCTTAGTTGCTCATATGACTATTAAAGTGTTTTTACCTTGTGAAGATTTCTTCCTTGAATGTTTTCTTGTTTAGCAATACTACCTATTATATAATCCATATTTTTTCAGTGGATATAAAATGCCATCTCTATCATATATTACATATCCCTATATGCTTGAGAATATCTGAACTTTAATTTCCTCTACTTAATCTTTACTGACTCACCAGTATCTTAATAAGCATAATTACTGAAAATTCACTTATTTATTATTAATTTACTGACAGCTAATTTAAGTATTAACTATTGAACAACACTTTTTAGTAGTACAAGTATGGAACTAGAAAAGACATTAATCTTTTCACTCTGCAGTCTTCCTAGGGAGAGGATGATACCATGCTGAATGAAGTCCGAAGTACTGACTGCCACAGTGAATATTTTAATTAGCAAACTATTTTAATTATTATAATGAGAGGTGGCCTTGTCGTTAAAAGTATACCAAATACTGTTTATTATCTTGGAATGCCTGAAGAAGCTACTGACTCTGCCACTGATTTCATCCAGAAGCTGGAAACCTCACTCATATATCAGTGTTGAGAGTGTCAGTTATGGGCAAAAGTTGTTTGTTTTATTCCTGCTTGCTTATTCATGGAACACTGTTAATTTCAACTCATTGGTTTTAGTTCGTGTAGTGTTTCCCTGTAATGAAATTTACCATCTAGGAAATGAAATCTTACCTCTTCCTTTCCAATACTTATACCTCTATTTGCTAAATTGCTATTGAGTTACAATTTTGGAGGCAGGTTTAATGACCATGATTCAGATAATCAAATCTTAAACACCCAACTAGACAGTAGTGCTGAAGAGTTTCCCAATCACAAAAACATCACAAATAATAACAGTAGGTTGCAAACACATGCATGGTTACATTCAATCAAACTTACTTCTGAAAACCATCTCAAGGTACCCATCTATCATTTACAACCTCAGACAGCACATTACATAATTCCAGGCAAAGTCACAAAATCACTTTCGCTTCTCCATAGTCACCTACAGCCTCAGACACGCTCACACCTAGTCTAAAATGAGACACATAAGTAGAGAACCCCAGGCAGCAACAGGACTCCGTCCACTTTTCACACACAATCGGTCGCAACATCTCACAGAGTAGCACGCACCCCAACGCAGCAGGTTGAGCACAGGCGGCCGCCTCAATTCGGTACACACACACACACACACACACAGACACACACACACACACACACACACACACACACACACACACACACACACACACACACACACACACACACACACACACACAGCGCCGGCTGTCTGAGGCCCCGCTCCCAACGCAGAGCTTCCTTGGGGTCAAAACAGACAAAATCCGCCCCCGCGCGGAGCTCGCTCCAGGTCAAACTCGATTGTCACCCTCAGGGTCACGCCCACGGACCACGCCCGAGGCCCCGCTCTCACAGATCCAAGTGTCTGGTTGCCGTGGGCTCGGCTCCGGTTCCCTCCTCAGAATTACCAGGCCCAGCTTGGACTCCCGGTTTCCTCCCTGGCCTCCCCACTGGGACCCGCTCCCTAGTCTGCCGTCTTGGCCCGAGCTCGGGGTTCCCGCCTCCTCAGAGCCCCTAGGACCTACCAATCTCACCCCCGGCCAAGGATCAGTCTTCTGCGCCTGCGCACTCCCGCGTGGGCTGGAGCTCCCAGGAGTCTACGGGGCTGCGCGCTAGTAGCCTAGCTGTCCCAGCTACCGGCTCTGCGGTGTGTTTAAGTCAACGTCCGCGCTGTTCCGGAGTGGACTGCGTTTCTCATAGACCCTGGGGGAGTTTGTGAACCTCATCCTCTGGTTGATTTTCCTTTATGCTTTCGGTCACCGTTTTCCTTGTGGTGAGTTGAAACCCGGGTCTGGGTGCGGGAGGAGCTCACTGCAGGAGGCCTGGAGTTTCCCAGGAGCGTATGGGACAGGTAGAGGCAGGAACGTCAGGCCTGTATGAAGAAGGTGATTGTGGGTGTGTGTGCAATTGTGTGCCTGCGCCAATGTGGGATGTGATCATGAGTGTATGCGTGTGTCAGAGAGTGTATGTATGCGCGCGCGCATGGTGGGGAGGCCCTGACTGGCCCAGATTGGGCTCCTGGGCCTGAGTGGGGGCGGAGCCATTACATGACCACGGTCAGCGGTGACAGTGAGGTGTGTTGGTACTGTGAACTAGTGACATTGCTATTGTGACCAACTGGAGACTATCAAAATTGGCCTAGTGTAGCTTTTTTACTTTTAGTAAGATAGAGCGTCATTTTTGCAGTTCTGGGGCTGAGGAATCTGTGGACAAGATCCCTGTGTGACTCCATCTGTGCCTGTGAAAGACTTCGAGGCCCTAGTTAACCACAGAGGCCCCCTGTTCTAAGCATGGCCTTTGTTGCCTTCATCGGTGCACCCTCTCTGTTGTCCAGCCTAGTGCTTAATGCATTGAAGGCATAGAGTACATTAAGTGTAGCCTATTCTGGACCCAGTTGTAAATTCCATGGTTTCTTAGAATTGTTGTACTGGGTTTTCTTTCACTGCCTGTGTCATTTCACCTTATAGCCACACTGCACAAAAATACTGGTTGCACAAAAATGGCTGTCAACGGGAAGTTGAACATTTGAGACCTAGAACGAATGTTAGAACTAAAAAAGCAAAGCCCTGTGTTTATTAAGGCGACTGTAGGGCTGGAATTAGCCACCGAAGACAGGATATTGAGGCTGCAACAGTGGGATTACTTCCTCTGAAGATTCCTCTTGGCAGCTCTATGAGGGCAAGCCCTGTATTACAGATCCACAGCATTTTTATAGCTCTGTTGACAGGAAACTGCTGTGAACATAGAAACAGACTCCAGTCCCTCGCTTCTGGGAACCTGAGTTTTCTTTATGATACAGGGAAGAGTCAACAGTATTCAGTCTTCCTCATACTTCCATTAGTGTATGTTTATGTATGAGGGGGGGCTTGCTAGTGATGAGGAGATGTGTTCTTGTTTAGCCTGTCTGGTCTCCAGGAAAGGCCTATTATGTCATGATTCTCTTTTCCTTCCAATTTTTGCTGTATTCCAAAAGAAGAGCCATGAGAGGAGAACATTGTTACAGTCACACATCTCAAAGCCAAGCTAAAAGTCATTTTGAGCTTTTTCTTTGTTTTATGAAATTTCATTTTTGTTTTTTGGGATATAAAATAACTTCATCTGAAACGCCCTAAAAAATAGTGATTTAGACATTTACCTGGGCATTCTCTTCCCAATTAATGATGGTACCATGAGGATGGATTGCCCTTGCCTGTTCCTCATCAGAATTCTTCCCACAGTTAATATTCATATAACCACTTGGAAACACCTCCCCTTGTACGCTTTTTGTGTAAGCATTCTTGTGATGCAGAAATAGTCCTTTTTTATTACACAGTTATTTGTTGAGGAAGAGACCAATGCTTAGGCAGAATTACACATTAGATACTTTAGATATTCTTCAGACACGAGTGGAAAAATGGCATGGTAGATGGTTTGATTGATTTCAGACTATAATAATGGTTTCTGAGTCTCGAGCAGGGATCAGCAAACTTTGACCTTGCAGGCCAAATCCAGCTTGTATCCTATTTTTTTTATGGCCTGTGAACGAAGATTGATTTTAGCATTTTTCAATAATTAAGAACATATCAAGGGGAGAATGGTATTTCATGACATGTGAAAATTATATGAAATTCAAATTTCTGTGTCTACAAATAAATTTTTGAATTTGATCAATAAAAAAAATTGTGGAAATTTGTTATCTCTCTTATTAAATAAGCACCTACATAATATCCTTGATTTTGCTTTTGGCCCACAAAGCCTAACATATTTACTCTCTGGTCCTTTACACAGGTTTGCTAACCCCAAATCTAGAGTATCTAAATGAAAATCTTAGTTTTACCATTGAGTGTTTTTGAGTTTGGATAATATATTCAGTATCTTTCTATTCCATAACTTACTGTTTGTAAAATGCAAATAATAATATGAATTTCAAAGGGTTTTTGTGAAGATTAGTAGTTAATATTAACAGGGCACTAGAACAGTGGCTGACAATAATAAGTGCTTATGTTAAAAATGTTATTATGTGAACCATCTCAGTCATTCCACATTCATAATAAGGAGCAGTGAAAATGAGAAGTTAATTGTAAGTAAGAAAATGGGCCATGTGCTCAGATGGTCTAGAATAGGAATCCTTCACCTTAAATGATTTGCCTTGGAACTGTATACCCAATTGTATATTTATTTTATTTTATTTTATTTTATTTTATTTTATTTTATTTTATTTTGTTTTTGTGTATGTGTGTGTTTTATTTGTTGTTGTTTTTTTGTTTTGTTTTGTCTTGTTTTGGTGTGTGTGTGTGTGTGTGTATTTATTTTATTAATGCATATTTCTCCTGGGGAAAAGCATATAATTTTATGATACTACCAAAGGTGTACATGACCCAAACAGGTTTTAAATCACTAACCTAGAATCAATAACTTATACCTGGAAGTCAACTTTAGGATGAGTTTGCCCAAAAATAATTTCCTGTATTATGTAAAATTGTTAACCACATTGCATCCAAATTAATCTTATATAATTAAAAAGATATTCTGATACAAAACATATAAAATATAATGCTATGCAGTATTCATGTTTATGAATGAAAGTACTCAAGAAATTGCTAAATTATAAAGTTTAACTATTATAGGCATTTCTCAGCAATGTTTTAAGGATGATATCCAATATGATACATTAACTGGGCATTCATTGGAGAAAGGCAATGATAAAGCCACATTTATTAAGCCTCTACTATGGATGAAACAATTTAGTCTGAAAATGTCACCCGAGTTGTGCTCATTCACAGGGAAATCTTAAGTGTCTCATACTGATGAAATACAGTAAAACAAGGTACAAGACTTTGTAAGTTTATTTCAGTCACACTGGTTTTAGTGCTATTACCAGTTATTTTGCCAGCTTGTTTGTTTTCATAATAAGTAGAAAATAGCCCACCCTACAATTACTTTTATAAATATGCTTGAAATGGAAATTGTTATAGATTCCTGATGAAGAAATTAACATAGTCTTCTTGAAAAAATTATTAACCTAAGTTGAACTTATAAAATAGAAAGTTTTAAAAGTACTCATAATTTTAGCATCCAGAAGTAGTCACTGTTAACATTTTGCTATACATTATTTTAAAGTTTTCCTTGTACATATGTTTCTGATTGTGTTTTTTTTTAGAAAAGTTTATAAGAATTAGTCATTAAAATAAGACCTCTTAGGGGCACCTGGGTGGCTCAGTTGGTAAAGCGTCGGACTTCAGTTCGTGAGTTCAAGACCTGCGTCAGGCCCTATGATGACAGCTCAGAGCCTGGAGCCTGCTTTGGATTCTGTGTGTGTGTCTCTCTCTGCCTCTCCCCCGCTTGCACTCTTGTCTTTCTCTCTCAAAAATAAATAAACGTTAAAAAAAAATTAAAAAAAAAATAAGACCTCTTAGTTTGAAAAAGGAATTCAATCCAGTCACTGGTTTTGTTATACCTCCATGTCTGTAGTGTCAAATGACAAAACTAAAACAATTTAGTAATGAGTTTGATGTCTTTTATTCAAAGGAAAACAGTCCATAGGTTGGAGGAGTACTGTGCCTCACAAACAATGCAACACTTTTCTGGAGTGATTTTGGGCAAGAGAGAGTTTAATAGAATGTTAGAAGAGGCAACACAGAAATGGTGTGATTGGCTAAGAGGTCAAGGATTTCCTTATAAGACTAACAGGTCCTATTTTTTAGGGTAAGGTAAGCTAGCTAAAGCTGAGATGAAGGATTGTGATTGGTATATGTTAGGTTTCCTTGACAGGTATTTCCCATTAAGTGCAGGCTAACTAAAGTTTAGATTTGTGATATGAGCTGGGCCACTAGGGTAGCCTCCATTTTGTGGGCCTTGATATACAAATTAACTTTATCAGTGGGGATAAAAAGGAAGTGACAATGATACCCAACTGATTTGACAGACCTTTTGACTATTTGCACCTTTTGGAATTATACAGATACAAATTTATGTATAATTCCAGGAGATCAAATGATAAAGTAAAGGTACTCAGAATTCTTCAGGTTCTCAGTATTTCCTTTTTTCTTTCCTTTTTTTAAATATAAATTATGCTGACAAGGATGGATTTATAATTTCCGATAACAGAATTGGATGTTAGTAGTTATAAATATGCATAAAATTCTGGCTTAGACCAGGGACAAGACTGAGTTTTGTTAATATTTTCAATTTGTTACCTAAGTGGATCAGATTCTCTGAGATAGTTTGTTTTTTTTTTAATGTTTATTTATTTGAGAGAGA